TGAGATGCGCTGTCCTCCGGGTTACACAGTCAAGCACATTTCTACCTGAAGCGTCCTTAGAGACAATTAAGACAATCACCTTAGACACAATTAAGACAATTACCTAGACAATTAAACAATTACCTTAGAGACAATTAAACAGTTATTAGAGACATTAAACTTACCTTAGAGACATTACGAACAATTACCTTAGAGACAATTAAGACAATTACCTTAGAGACAATTAAGCGTCCTTAGAGACAATCAAGACAGCCGGATAAAAACATGCATATCGCATTTTATCCGCGACATATAGCGCAATATGAAATATCTTCATTTAGTTTGTGACTCTGCTAGCAATTTGATTGAAGGTACTGTTGGCAGTTAATGATAGAGTTCTATGAAATAATAAAGCAAAGTAGGTATAGAAATCAAACATCTGTATAACAGTGTATTTTACATTGTTTTTCGATAAAATATAATCTATAAAATTTTTACCGTCACCTTAAAGTAGATATATTCTTAGGTATACCTGCAAAAATATTAAAATTTATTATTGAAAATTTCCCAAGACGCACGTGAATTTACATACTGGCGCGTTCTGAAATTTGCCACATTTATTACATGCAATAATAACGTCAAATGTGGTTCAGGTACTTAGTTAAAATAATTTGAAAGAATGAATGATGCACTCTTTTTTCTTGTTGTACGCAATGAAAGGGAAAAGAATATAGGTTACTATAAGTTAAGAATTTGACGTTGTGAATTAATCTTGGTGCAAACTCAAAAACAATTGTTTATTTTCTAGGTAAGTTTCACAGCAAATTTTACAAAACCTAATATTTAGGTATAATTTGAATCGTAGAATCGAAATACGGAAAAAAAAATCGCGATGTGATTTCAGAAAAAATCCGATTTTGTGTCAAAATACCTATATTAGAACAATGCTACATATAAATATAATATATATTTTAAGTATTGCCTTCTAGACATAAAAATTACAAATTAAAGTCCATCAATTCGCCCAGTAGAACGGAAGATATACAACTGTCCCAACCACTCCTGCCTCGGCAGAAATGTACATAACTCTATCACTGATACCTTATTTATACAGCAATGCCATGTTTGCGGCCCCAAAATAAAATTATTTTATTTTATTCACAGAATGATAAACAGAGAAATGAAGAACGATATCTTACAATTTTGAATATCAGTATTTACATGCGCGGATACACGTTTTCGTTTGCCTGCACTTCGCCAATAAGTCTTTAAAAAAAAAGAGAGAGAGAGAGAGAGGCCTGAAATAATGATAAAGAGACAGTTGAGGGAAACAAACAAAAAAAGCATTCAAAAGTTTTTTTTTTTTTTTACAAAAATCTCTGAATTAATCACAATGGAAAAACTCAGACATGGTTTTGGCAATTCAGATGATTGAGAAATGACAAGACCTCCCCCCCCCCATCTTAAAGAAAGAAATTAGTTTGACTTTTAAAATGCACATCATTTTAATATTTGTATCAAGAGATCACATAATTAACATCGACAGTATCAGAGAAAACGTTCATATCACAGCTATGTATTTTGAACCATATTCTAGTCACGGTAATAATTTGTCAAAAAAAATAATAATAATCTGAAAGTTTTCAGATTTTAAATTACGTCCAAAGGGGTGTTTTTTAACGTTTTGTGTGTTACCTTTATTTATTAAATCAAGTTTAAACCATAAAATTCAGTTCAATAGCAATGTTGCAAAATAATTTTAAAATGAGCCTATCTTTAGAATTTCCGATACACTGTTCCGCGCGCTGGAGATAAAAAGGTTTTTTCCCCCGTAGAGTGTTGCCATCGCTCGCTTTTAAATCGTTGAGTTTGTTACTCAAAAATTCGTTAAAGTTTTACAAAATATGAAATCGATCATAAAACAAATTCCAAATTTCAAATTTGATCTTCGACATGCCCATATTCGAATGAGGATTACGTCATTCAAAATTCGATGGAGGACTGCAGGACTCTAGCATTGGGTGGCAACAGTTTGAAAAATGAAACGGACATTTATAATGATTCAAAGCAAAATCGCAAAACGAAAACAATAAGTCCTTCAGGGACAAAGCCCCTTTGGACTAATAATACCTTTCCTCGACAATCAGTGATATGACTGATGACGTGAAAGGAAGGCTTATCAGGTGTAGCATATCCGCGCTGTAAATGGATGAGTCAACTGACGTCACCGGGTTAGTAGTTTTAAAGGGTTCCTTGTGCTTACTATCAAATAGAGTTTTCTTCGCGAATTCTACCAACTAGCAGGCAAATCAAGTCAAATAGTTAATTGGGTGGCTTCTTCTGATCAAATGAAATAGAAGGAAACTGTGCAGATATATGCATTAACAGAACAAAGGCTGCAGAGTCATTAGATTTTTTTTTTTATGCTGAAGACGTGAAAAATGTGCAATGCTCTCGCGGGAAAATTCGAACTTCAGAATACGCGTCGATGGGTTTCAAGTTACACTACGAAGCCATGCAGAAAAGTAAGAAAAATACTTTAAAAGGAAATGGGTTACAATGCTAAAATTAAATATTTCTGTGAGTCGTAAAATCTAATATCAGATAGATTTTTTATATTTGAATGGATTTTCGGAAAATTTTAAGACAAGAATGCATAACCATGGAACAATGAATATGCACACGTTTGTTTAATAAACCGATTTCTATTTTAAATCATTCAAGGCATGATTAACTTCGGGCCTCCAACTGCAGGGAGAGTTTCTAAATTATTTTATTATATTTAAACTATGTAAATTTTTAAATATATTTTAATTATCAGTTTTAAATGTACAAACTTACAATTTTGTATTTCAGTTTTTTATGCAAAAAGCAGACACTCAAGCATTGAATTTTGAGACTTTCGATCATTACTTTTGCTTTTGTATTAATTTTACATTAACAAAGTGATGATCGATGCTGCAAAGGTACTTGGAAGACATGGACAAAGTACCTTACGATATGCTGGCTCACTCTGTAGAGCCATTAGAATCTTTTTTTAAAGCAGTAGAGTGAGTGAATGCACCACTATGATGGCTTCCGACCACGAACATGAACCAAACGGAATTATATACCATCACGGCGGAGAAGACTCCAAAGTAACAAGGTTGAATATTACATACTGATAACAGTTTTTACATATTGATAACTGCAGGCACTAAGCGTTATTCTGGTTATCTGCTTTAAGTTCTGAACATTTGAAACATAATATTATTCACGGTTGTTTTTGCTTAGGCAGTGTCTTGAGATTTTCTCTATTTTATCAAGGGCTACACTGTTTTTGAGTGTGTTAGATGTCCACATTGCCCAGGCACAGTCCGCTGGTTTCTTCAAGTGCCAGGTTCTTGTATGTACACAATGGAAGTAACAATGGTCCGTGTCGCCTTCCTCTCCGCATTCGCAGAAAGGAGTATCCCTAAGTCTGAATCTGTTCAGGTATACTGTGAATGGTCCATGACCTGTCAAGAACTGTGTTAGGCTAGAACAAAACTGTGTGTTGCTTTTGGCAGTAAGCACAGTGGGTCTTTATTTCCATGTTAACTTTTGGCAGTAAGCGAAATGTCCTTCGTCCTACCTCTGCCTCTGTCCATCTACTTTGTCAATTTTGTAGCAGACTTGTCAAAGTTGTTTGCTTAATATGAGACCAAGGAAGTTTAGTTGGTCTTTCTAATATATCCGTGCAGTTGGCTGCCCTGCTTGGCCAGTAGGTCAGCGGCTTCATTGCCTTGAATCCCGGTATGAGCGGGAACTGAATTTAAAGTGGGTCTTTGCGAAATAGGCATTGTCAGAAGCTGTTTCTGAATTCGGTATACCAAAGGACTCCGGCTGTTTTGACTTGCGATAGCCGCCAGACTTGATGCCGAATCACTGAGTATGGAGAATTTATCCTGTTGACATGTGTTCGCATATCTAATTGCAGCACTGATAGTGTGCAGTGCCCTCGCCAGGACTCGAAAATGGACCTCTCGAATAAGCGTCGAGTGTGCTACCGTTACACCACGAAGGCATGCAGAAAGCGGGCTGATAGTACCCCTTTTAAAGGGCGATTAGGGGACCCAGTTGTCAAATCCTGGGGATGAAAAATCATCATCCACCAACTTTTAGTTCGGGCGCCACTGTAGAGTCATTTGGTTATTTTGAAGTAGTAAAGGTGAAAAGTGTGCAATACCCTCGCCAGGACCTCTTGAATACGCACCAGGTGTGCTGCCGTTACACCACGAAGGCATGCAGAAAGCAGGGAGAAAATACCTTATAATTTAGAAGTCAAACAACAAAAATCAGCGTTATATTTTCAAATTTTCACAGGACTAGTTTCAATGGTTTTACCGAACCATCATCCTCAGCTGCAAAAGCGCAAATGAACGAGATAAGATATAATGATAAGATAAGACAAGAAAGCCTGGACAGGAGATAAGCTACTGGCGCCATCTTTCAGTTCTAGTTAACGACTCTAATTCCAATCCATCTTTGCCTTCAGCCTTTAAAGAAATTATGTTTTAATTCTGGTTTCATCAACAGATGGCGCCAGTATGGCCTAGTATAGCCTGTCCAGGCTTTCTTGTCTTATCTTATCTCGTTCATTTGAGCTTTTGCAGCTGAGGATGATGGTTGGGTAAAACCATCGAAACTAGTCCTGTGAAAATTTGAAAATATAACGCTGATTTTTATTTTTTGACTTCTATATTAATATTTGTTCGGCGTGTTATTGTATCTTAATACCTTCTAACTCCAAATTTTTGCAAAGAATATTAAAAATTATCGCCATTCTACGATGCTCAGTTTAAACGTACAATACTCGCTGTCTCCTCAAGACGCCAACAGTCGCTTAACAATTAGTATAAGCCATATCAAAACGTGCGAGGAGTTACAATTTACGTTTGAAAAAACACTGCTCTGTTTACAATATTTCGATTCCAGAGAAATAAAAACCGGATCTATATGCATTCAAAAAGAAAATATTCTCACGTAAAAAAGAAATAAACAAAATAACCAAGCAAACACTTTCAATAATCTCACTTGAAGTGATTTCCACAGAGGTTAAGATACCCCGGATTTACCATCTTGACGACCTGGCCTTCTTGGAAGGCCTTTGCTGAATTGCAGAGTAATTAAAGGTGTACCTCGACCAATGTTTGGCACTTAGAACTTTAGAAAAAGAGACTTCGCGAGAAATGTAATTAATAATCCAAATGAAAAACGCACTTCACTTCCCCAATCCTATTTTATTACAGGCTTGAAAAAAAAAAACGACGGCCATTCATATGGATCTAAGCGTTAAACAGCATTTACACAGCCACACAAAAGAAGTGACGCCCGACGCGGGAGGTTGACTATCCATCTCTTAGATTATTTTTACCTCCCTTAAAGAGTTTCTCGATTTCTATCGTACCTACATCTTTCTCTAAAGGTGATGAAAAAAGGAGGCACCCTTCGTATAAAACACACCATCATTAAATAAACATTACACATTAGTACACAGAGAAAACACTTCACGGGTTAGGTGCAGCAAGATGGATTTTTTTCCCCTTACCCAGTTCAACCTCTTAAAAATATACAAAAAAATGACTATTTTCATTTACTTTCTAGGGTCTGGGACCTCCCTTTCCAATTCAACGCGGCGTATACTCAGTAATTAGGGTTAACCCCATGTTCTTAAACAAGCTCTGCGTTCTGCGTTGAGTATAATGAATGGACCAGATGGTAAGATAAAAGTGCTCAGGGCTTTACCGCGGTTTTTTTTTTTTTTAAAGCCAATAGTTGAAGTATAGCTTGCAGCAGAAATGTGTGTCATATTTTATTTATTTATTTATTTTTTTGATAAACGAATGACAATGAAGCCTATGATTTATTTCTCGAATTGAGATTCGTAATGCGAGAAAATTTTTGAGATTCCATAGAAAGAAAACCACAAAGAGGCGTTGGAAAAGTTGACATAATCGTAATGAAGTAATAACGAATAGACTGCCTGCTATTCTCCACAAAAGGCTATTATTTCAGTGAAAGAACTCAATTAACATATAGATAGAAGTGTTTTGAGTTTATAAATATTTCTGAGAGTGGTAAAAATGCATTACCAGATAGATCTTTTATATTTGCTTGGGTTCTCGGAAAGTTTTAAGACATGAACTCATAACCGTGGAACAATAAATATGCTCAGGTTTGTTTAATAAATTGATTTCTATTTTAAATCATCCAAGGCCTGATTAAAGCAAGGACTAATCTTCGGACCTCCAACTGCAGGAAGGCTCTCTAAATTATTTTACAATATTTAAAATGTGTAAAGTTTTGAATGAATTTTAATTCTCAGTTTTAGATAGTATTTGAAAGGATTATGTTAATTTTATTAACAGTTAAATTTTGAGTTAAACTTCCTTTTCTATCGCTTCTTGATTTCAACTTACCACTTCCGGCTAGAACGTAGTTTCAAAATCACGTCTGAATGCTAATGAGGAAGAGCGGTATTTAACCGCGAAGTTCTACTGTCTTAGGGAGAGAGATACCAAATATTCTGGCTGGCACGCGTCCGCCCTTTTAGGCTATTGTCTCGTAAGCTATTATTACGCTCAGCCGTACTTTAGGCCCTTGATAGCTTCGCAGTCAATTAGCGTTAAGGGCCGACTCTGTTAGAATCTTGATGGCTTCGGCTATTTCTTTTTTCTTTTTTAGTCGAGATTAGCTTAGTTTGATTCGTAGTCTCTTAAGTTCAAGCCCAAGTGTCGGCTTTATTGTACAACTCCGAGACGGAGTTCTGTTAAATCTTTTATCTGAATAATAAAGTTTATTTATTCCATCTTGTCTTGTCACAAACTCGAGCGATTATTCGTTTATTAGTTCTTAAGATTCTTCACTTTTTAACTGTAACGTAGAATTACACAGTGGAGAATCCTGCAACATAAAATTTCAATTTTGTATTTTAGTTTTTTATCTTTTTATCTAAAAATCAGATATTAGGCCGCGGTTTTGCCCTTTTACAAATTTGCAAACTAATTGCTAATTTCTTCCGCTGTGTTGTAAAGACATTAGGATTCTTTTTGGAAGAATTAGCAACGTCTTTGGAAAATTAGCAACGTCTTCGCAGGAAATCGAACCGCGAACCTCTGGAATACGCGCCCAGCGTGCAGACCACCGCACTACGAAGGCATGCTAAAAAGGAGGGAGAAATGCCTTATATACTCCCCCTTTTAAGGGACGACTGGGGGTTTTTAGGGGACTCAATCGCCAAATCCTGAGTGGGGAGAATTATCATCCATCACTCTTTTAATTCGGTCGCCATTAAAGAGACATTAAGTATTTTTTTTTGGAAGCAGGAGGCTTGAAAAATGAGCAGCACCTTCGCCGGGATTGGAACTACAGACTTCTGGAATACGCGCCCAGCATGCAGACCACTACACCACGATGCCACGCTAAGAAAGTGGAAGAAATACCTGATAGTGCGGCCACAAAATTTAAAGCTGAGGAATGCAGAATTCTTTTGATTATCATCATATTCTTGATTATTAAATTTATAAACGCATTAACTTGGCATTATATTTGTAATTTAATCAACATTTGAAATAAAATCAGCAAAGTTCTTTGGTTGCTTCTCTTTACCTCATTTTCTTTCAGAAGAAAAAAGAAAGCAGGACCCTCATTTAAAACGTTCAAGTTAATCTTTTACATAATGCAAGACGCATAATTTTTTACACAATGCATACTATTTTACATAATGAATAAACAACCGAAATCCTGAACGCAAAACATATAAGAAGGTAAAATATAACTTTTGTTGAAATAACTTTGAATGAAAAAATTAGATTATTTCACGAAACAATTTGTATAATTTGCATCACTGATAAAGGTATTTGAATACATCGAAAACAATAAGAGGAGACAGGGCCTCTCCAAAAGATTTTAACACGTTCGCTACCGAGCGACATTTTCAAAAACGGTTTCACCCCGCAAACAAATTTTTAATTAATTGTAAAATAAAAATACAGAACATATATTTATGGGAAATATATTTAATTTAGATAATTTTTAATTATACGAGTTATATATATTTTCAGTTACGCCTCTGCTTGGGCGGTAACTGAAATATTAGCAAGTGATAAAACTAACTACAGGGCTCAGCTAGATCCGGTTTCTTAAACCCCCTTCGAAACTAGTGGCAGCAAGTAAATGCAATTATGTCACGTGAACCAGTGATAAGCAAACGTTTAAATAGCAGAGTGTGGCGGCTGTGGCCTAACTCTCCTCTTTCCTACCGAAACTCTGTTTTTAAACTCTTTCTGGAAAGTAGAATTTGCATTCCTTCACGCGCGCTACCAAATTTAAAAATTCTGGCACCGACAATTAGGGAAATGAAGGCTTATAGGAAAGAATAGCAACTTAAATAAAATTGGTTATTTAAAATAAATGTAAATCCCTACAAAGTATATATTTGTAATTGGCGATTACTTTATAACAAAGATTGTTATAATAACTGTTGTAAATATAATCAAAGATTAGTATAAATTGTTTGATTATTTTTTTCAGTTCCCGTGTTATTCCCTTGGATAGATTTTCTTATATCACACTTATATTTACTTATATCATACTTATATTAATTATAATAAATCTCTTGAATTGCGTCAGATTATTTTTAATCTTCAAAGCCAGATACCTTCAAGCAAAATGAAAATACTACGAGTTTGATTGTATGTGGCAAAGGTAAAACAAAAAACGTTCTACGAATTAACTCGTACCTGGCGCCTAAACACAATCTTCGACCTACGAGATAACTCGTCGTTGGCAGCGAACGTGTTAAACCTGCTTTAAGTCAAAGTAAGGGCCTTCGACCAACAATTTAAGTATGTTTATTTGCAATAGCCTTTTTGAAACACTTTGTATAATCTAAAGAGTATAAAGCCTTCGCATATTGTTCTTCCTAAAAAGCCCCATTTCTGATTTTTTTTTAATGTTCCTCCATAATGGTCTAAAGGAAAAGCAAAAATTAACCTGGAACTCTAGTTTTGTAAATCGGGCCTA